CTGTAAAGTCAAAAGAATGTTTGCGGAGAATTACTGGTATAAAATAGCAAATAAATTAGAATTTTTCTAGGAAAAAGGTATGTTTTAGTGATTACTTTTTCTTCAATATTACATGCTGGATACAAAATTACTTTACCAAAATTGAACCCACACTATACTGGGATTCTGAATATCAATGTCTTACATAGCTGTCCTGTTATTAAAAAAATATATGTAAATAAAAATTTGTATCTGAACTTACCTTGACTTAATACAGATGCAGTTCCTGCTGATACTTGAGAGTCTTTACAAATAATTGATAACAAGGAATATCAATATATATATATATTAGATGAATACATGTTAGATCATACTTACTGTTGACCAAGAATAAATTATCTCCTATACATGTAGCTAGCGAAGACAGTCAGTCACATAAACACCAAATATATATAACTTAATACACTCACACGGTAAAACGCTGAGAAACTAATTTTAACTTTCATGCATTTACCATATCCTTAACCCGAGATTATATTTTGAAACACTACAGCTTTGTCTTACATATAAAGGCATCAACTACACATTTTAAAATACATACCGGTATCTATTTACGTCAGCAGAGACCAATTGTGACAGGCCAGGATTTATTTTAAGGTTTATCAGCATCATATATTCTACATTTCTAGCACATTAATAAAAAGTCAAAGACAAACATGGTCTGTATCAGCATGTGTCCAATCAAACCGTGTATTTACCTTTCAAATGGACAATATGTAGAATAATGATGTTTAACAACAACAAATCCATAAATCTTGACATGCCCTTCAACAACATAAACCTGAAAATATAACAATTATAAACAAACTTTCTCCTCCTATGGCTTGAACGCCCCAAGCTCCTTGGGCCCTCCTCCTCTCCTGTCTGTCTCATGCTCTTCCTCCTCTGCATGGGATTCTTTTTCTTCACCACTGACTGTAGGTCTTGCCACTTTTTTTCAACATCACCAACCTCCCTTCTGCACTGTAGACTTACTGCATTCACTCTATATTTACGAGGGTTGTCCCAAAAAGTCGTAGACAATGTTAATAACTTTGTTAACACGCAACCAATACTAACCAAATTTTGCATAGACATAATACATTCAATGTTCTTTAAAATCGTGAATTCTTAAATATATATCTTTCATATTAATTATATTTGGACGATTTATATGAAAGCCGATATGGACTGTCGGCGCACGACCAAAATTCGGAATAATTTACGCATATAACTATTACATTTGCATTTATTTTTTTTGGTACTATGTAAGTGATTGAACTAAAATTTAAATCACTGACACCAGAATCTGAATAACATTTCAAAACTTCATATAAATACCGTTAGAAACAGACGACTGGTAGCATGATTTTCAAAGTGTTGTTCGAATTGAGATTGATGAAAATGACGTCGTTGAACGCGTTACCGGCGCACGGAAATGTAATAAATTGTTTTTGGTATGTTTTATTTTCATCAGAGACGGGGAAAAGAGTACAGAAAGGGCATTACACACTATTTTTTTTAAAACAAAAGTTGTTTTTTAATAGTATGGTACTCAAAAATAGTTTTTCCTTTATATCGAAAATAAAATAGTTATTGCATTAAAGTAGAGGACTGGTTTTTTTTTTAACGCAGACATTTGGGAACGTTCTGGGCCATGAACGTCGTCAAACAAGGTGTGTTTTCTGCTTCGTAAAATGTAAGGTGATCTTTCAACTAATTTAATTTTAACTAAAATTTGAATCTCCTTAAGAAAACGGACAAGCGGTAAATTTAAATAAGTCCCTTAGTCAAGAATGGGTTTTTGCTATTAAAAAAATACTCATTTGGATGTTAATAGCCTCATGTAAAACAGAAAAAGAGATTACGACGTTATGAGAGACGTAAATTACGCTTGCTTTCGTGCGCCGATGCACACTTACATAATTTCTTTATTTTTTCATAGTTTTCTTATCAAATGTGGTATCGTCATGAAATTTGAAATGCGTGATCATAAAATGTTACTTTTTGCTATGACAAGAAAAGAAATTTGATTTAGCAAAGAGAGAATAAACTATGGTCCCTGACTACGACTTTTTGGAACAACCTTCGTATATGCATACATGTGCCTTTCAATAATTAATATAAACTAAAAAAGTACTTTGATTAATAAAGAAAAAAGTATGACAGAAATCATCGTCTGCTAATAAATGAACGACATTTAGGTCCTTGCAATATTATGATAAAAACCCACATCAGCTTTCACACCCGTTTGCTTAATAATCTACTTATCAGCTGATTTTCAATCTACGAATTCTTGGTTACTTCAATTTAATTTTAAACATTTTATCATGAGTGAAAAATTGCATTTGATACTTTTCCGTAACGGATTCCCACGCCGCCGTTTTCATATTGTTGGTCAAAGACGGGGAAAACTTCCCGTACAACACTCTGTAGTTGGTGGACACAGAGTCCAACAACACCTCCGCCTCCAAATCCGTGAAATTTGCTTTTCTTGGCTTCTTTCCTTCATCCATTCTTCTTCTCTTTTCGCAGACGACCGAAAGAATTATTGGCGCACTGTAAAGTGAAACTAACAAGCGCATGCGTACGCACAATCGTACATTTAAGAATTCGTTAACTTACGTCAACGTCTACGAGCGGCTTTGTAAATACCAAAATACGAATTCGTATCTTCAATCAGTCGTAACTCCTACGTTTACGTCTACGTCTAAGAACTTTTGTAAATATGCGAACAGATGTCAAAGCATCATTTTTTTTTTCAGACTATGTAACCCCCCATCACCCCCTACCATCCCCCGTTACCCCGACCCAGGGGGCATAAAAAAATAACCATTTTGCTAGATTCACCTTTCCTCTTCATAAATATTATTGGCATAAAACCTGGGAGCAAAGGAAAAGATTTTAAAAGAATTAATGCATTTTCACTATATGATCAAAAGAGCCCCGCCCTAATACCAGAACCCCTGACCCTGGGGCCATAACAATGCACAATTTTGGAAGTGGCACTTTTGCTCATCATGACTATGTAATTAGTTTATTTAATACCCAGAAGCAGAAGATTTTCAAGGAATAATGCATTTTCACTATATAATCAATAGAGCCCCGCCCTAACACCAGAACCCCTGACCCTGGGGCCATAAAATTCACAATTTGGGAAGAGGCACTCTTGCTTATTATAACTATGCGCTTAGTTAGTCTATTTAATACCCAGAAGCAGAGAAGATTTTCAAAGAATAAACGCATTTTTACTATATAATCAATAGAGCCCCGCCCTAACACCAGAACCCCTGACCCTGGGGCAATAAAATTCATATTTTTGGAAGAAGCACTCTTTCTCATCATAACTATATACATAGTAAGTTTATTTAATACCCAGGAGCAGAGAAGAAGATTTTCAAAGAATTAATGCATTTTCACTATATGATCAATACAGTCCCGCCCTAACACCAGAATCCCTAACCCTGGGGCCTTAAAATTCATAATTTTGGAAGAGGCACTCTTTCTCAACATAACTATGTACTTAATTAGTCTATTTAATACCCAGAAGCAGAGAAGAAGATTTTCAAAGAAATAATGCATTTTCACTATGTAATCTATATAGCCCCGCCCTACCACAAAAACCCCTGACCCTGGGGCCATGAATTTCACAATTTTGGTAGAGGACTCAATGCCCATTACATTCATGCCAACAGTTTGCCTGCTTGATGTCCAGGAGTAAAGAAGAAGATTTTTAAAGATTGCAGTAATTTTGGTGGTTTTGGCCCCACCCCTCAGGCCCCAGGGGGGCGGGGACCATAAAATTCACAATTTTTGTTCCTCTTCACCCATAGATGCTGTATACCAAATTTTGTTTGAAATTGGTTCAGTGGTTTCAGAGAAGAAGCTGAAAATGTTCAAATGTTTACACACGACGGACGACGCACGACGGACGACGATTGACGAAAACGGATAGCAATAGGTCACCTGAGTTACTCAGGTGACCTAAAAAGAACTCGAAATGGCACTGTCCAGATTGTAAGCCTGCAAAGATGGGAAAGGTAAAAGGCAGAGGAAAAGGGAAAAAATGAATGTTATGTACTGTTAGCATTGTGGAAGTGTTTATTTTTACACTGATTTTTATGTACATCTGTCATTTAAACACGGTTCATGTACATCATATCTCATTAAGATTATAAAGTTTGAGTATATTAGAATTGATAAGTATTTTTTATAAGTTTGTAGCCTACAGGCTATTTTTTTCCTTTTTTGGAAAATATAGAAGCTGAAGTCGATGTTTCCATATATTCAAGTTTTTGACTTTGTAAACAGTGAGTAACAAAGAAGTGATGCTAATGTATGTGTTGAGACAGAGTGGACTTCAAGCCGATACATGAATTTATTCCATGCACAGTATGAAATGTTTACTATTTTTCAGTACTTAGTGTAGCTTGGCACTGATATGTCATTTGGACTTTAACTTCATGCTTTATTAATAAGGTTGTAGACAAAAGGAACATCCTTTTTAGAAGAGATAAAAGTATGCTTAGATTTAATTTCCCCCATTTACGTTTAGAAATAAAAAAAAATATAGATGCTGTAGAATTTAGCACCCCCTTTTCTATTTTGTCAAAGCTCTCCGCAAAGACTGTTTTAATTACAAATCGGAAATAAGTATCAACTTTGAAGTACAATACACTGGCAAACTCTTTCAGGTCTCCCGTTTGTTGTCTCTAAACGTACAAATGAAATTTCATAGGCTTGGGATAATTTTTCTATTGCTTGAAATATTTTGACAATGAGTCTACTTCCAAAAAAATACCCCAAAATGTACCAAAAACACTGATAGTTATTTAAAATATTTGAAATATTTATACCTAGCAAAGAACAGGTTGAAAGGTCGATTACATTGCTTTTACAGCACTTGAATAGCTTTTTAAAATTTGAATTTGCCACAATTTGAAAGTTAGAGTTATCTGCCCTTCAATATCTCCGATCTTATT